ATTATATTACCTTACTCATTAACAGCTAGTTTGTTGGTTTGATGGTTATTTGACCATGGCCGTGATCTGTTGGCTCAATAACGATGTTATGGAGTGAACTTTCAAATCAATTGGTGTTTGTATTTTATAGGTTCGTGGACACTCAGAATTGCGCAGGTGTGACTTGTGGCACCGGCAAAGTATGGTACGAGAGGGTTAACTGCGCTTCAGGGGCGGCCGTGTCTTTAACGGATTGTTTGACCGGATTGACTCCGTCCGATTCCGATGACCATTCTAAGGACCTGGTTGTCCAGTGCAAAGGTAATATACATCTTGTAATGACCTAAAAATGTATCTACTTGGGTCACTAAGGAAAACACTTGTAGTCAGAATGTCAGACAGGGAAATACAAGTCATGTTAGACAATCATTAGGAGAATCATAAAACACATTGGTTCGATTAGAGAATTCAAGCACAGCTAATTTATAGAAACACACAATGTCCATTACTTCTATGACCTACATATATATATATATATATATATATATATATATATATATATATATATATATATATATATATATATATATATATATATATATATATATAAAGATGGAGCTCCTGGAAATTAAAAATATTTATCTATATGTATTTATGCCAAGGCACCTTACGTTACTTATTTTTCTTTTAATAAAAAAAATATACCCTTACCTTATAATAAACCAAGGTCCCCATTGGCGCCATCTTGAATTTTTCTAGGTCGGTCACATCCACTTGTATTTTCGTCTGAAACTCCGTCAAATAAATTCCTGGCAACCATATTCTCTCTTTGGCCAGTCTTTCGAGGTCTAAACTTACGGACTGTGCAACCAGAAGAGCGCATCACATTTGCAAATATTAAAATTCCATCGTCAAACTCGATCTACTGCTTCTGTCAACAATCCGAGAAAATCGCATTCGAAGTTTACGTTCGGTTTGAAATTCTTAGGTAGCTAAACACAGTTTCTTATAAAATCCAGGGGTTTTTTTCCCAGAGAGAAGCATGCTGGGTAGGGATTTTCCTGCTATTTATAGGAGTCTAGATGAAAACTGCATCTTTTTTGTGTTTATTCGCATAAAGTAGAGTCTTATCTTAATATTTAAAGAAAAACATGTGCATTCATTTTTAGAGAAAAAAAAATTGTGAGACTTTTTAATAGGGGGAGATAACTCCCAAAACATCCGGTTTTCACATGTGCAGAATTGCATGAGTCAATTATAGTCTGGTCCTGATTTTTAAAAAGAAGGCTAGAAATAACTTCTAACGGCAAATAATCATTATTTGGTCCAGCATAGTTTTTTAACCTATTTCGAGTATGCTGATTCCGAGAAAAATATGCTGGCCTTCATGAAAATGACGTTAAAGAGGTCAAAATGGCGATTCAAAATGGCGGACATCCAATTTTTCTAATTTTCTCTTAATGTCGTTCAAAATGGAAAATTAATGAGTGAATATCTAACTGAGTGTAATAAAACTATAAAAATCATAACAGAATGCTAATATTATTAGTTTAACTCAGAAAATTTAGTCGTTTCTACACTTAATTCGAAATTTCTCTGATTTTTTGGTTTATTGTTCTGTATTCCGCTTTGATCAGGATTTTACATTTGGAAATATCCATACACTGCATATTTGTATTTTTTTCCTCTGCATCTCCCTATTCTACAACTGAATGATGGCGCAGCTGTAAGTTAAAAGTCAAAATGGCGATTCAAAATGGCGGATATTCATCTTTTTTTTTAACTATTTCTTAATGTCGTTTACATAGTAGAAAGGATTTGTGAATATTTTACTGAGCATAGTACAACTATGTAAAATGACAATAGAACACTAATTTTATCACTTTAAATCGGAAAATTTAGTCGTAAAATTTGAAATGTGTTTATTACCTAGCTCAAAATGGCAATTTAAATGACGTCTTGTACACTCGAATTTCGAAAAATACCCACACTGCTTAATTCTGGTTCGTTTTGCAGAACATAATTTGCAGTTTGTTTTTTTTATTCATGAAATAATGTTCAAATATGCAATGAGAGTTGGAGGATATTTTTGTTCATGACTTAGGATTTTTATAACACGGATTTTTGTTTAATTACTTCTATTGTTAAGATAAAGTTTTGACGACAATTCCGATGACATTTTACCTTTCACGTGTCTCACCTTGCTTTTTCATATAAAAAGTTAATAATATCATACAATAATTGCTGTTTTGAGGACAATATAAAAATTAAGCTACCCCAAGAGCAGTATCCCCAGAGCATTAGGGCGAGTTAACATTCAGTTGTTGGAAATTCTTGATCTATTTTTAGTCCAGTGTAGAAAAAAAATAAATGTTTATGTTCATTTGGAAGGTCTAGTGCAACATAACACAGTATGATTTTTAAAATGATTGACCACGACCAATTATAGGGCTAGTAATTGTTACCTCATATAAATCTGAATATATTATAATATCCAAATATAAACATATATTAAGAATTATCAGTATAATATACATAATCCATAATTTTTCTTGATTGTCCAGCTCTGATTCTGTGTCCCTGCATTTGCATTTTGTTTTTCTCAGTCAAAAATTCAACTACATTCTCAAATATTTCATTCTGTGAATGGATAATTTTGTATGGAACGGTGTATATAAATTTTTTAAAATTTGAAATTTACAAAATTTGAAAGAAGAAAATGTTTGTATTCAATCCCCCTCGATTCTTGATACAACCTTACACTATCCTAACAAAGAAGTGTGAATCAAGTTGCCTTGTAAAGTTCTTGAAGTGTTCAAGAAAATTTTGTTGTCAAGAGAAGTGTTGACTAGATCGAAATCAGGAATGGCTTAGGCCTATTGATACGAAAGCTTGTAAGTGATAGGAATAACGAGGAATCTGCAGGCGCTCTTATATTGTATAATTTCACAAATGTTTCACATTTGAACATAAATGTGTTGTTCCTTGAGTGTTGGTTGATTGATTATATATTGTTTAACGCCGAGTCGGCAATTTTTCAGCTATGTTTCGGCGGACTATCAGTTTAAATAATCGGTTTTTGATGGATTTTGGTTTCTCTGGCGGCCCCTAGTAAGCTTACTCTTTTTCGAACTCCAGAGAAACGATCTTTTACATGCCAAGGGGGTTGTCATCCTTGACACAGGGCACCATTTTACTTGAGTGTTGGAAATTCAAAAATTCCGAAGACAGACTGAAATATATGGCAAATAAAGCTGAAATAGAAGATGTCAGGGGGTAATACTACGTTCTTAATAGTGCTAAAAAGCTAGAACAAAGTGTTCGATGAAATCGGACAAGAATTTCTTCAGTTACATGTATATTTGATGGTGTGTCGAGGGATGTTGAGGTAGAAGTGCGAGTTGATAATCACAGCGATTCGGGAGTGATTTTAGGTGGACGGGGGCTCAAAGTTTTTGGAACACGTACGGTCAAATACAAAGGGGGAAATTAGGAAACTCTTAAGTCAAGTTTGTTTTAACTATTTCCAGAAAAAATTAATCTTTTCAAGTAATTTTTGTTCATATTTAATGGACTAATCAATATATTATATATACTATGTATATAAAAAAAACAAACTGTAATTTATTTTCTGCAACACGAACCAGAATTAAGCAGTTTCTACGAAATTCGAGTGAATCAGACGTCATTTTGAATCTAAAGGGATAAAATTAGTGTTCTGTTGGCATTTTACATAGTTGTACTACGCTCAGTAAGATATTTACAAATCCTTTGTCCTATGTAAACGACATTAAGAAATAGTTTTTAAAAAAAGATGAATATCCGCCATTTTGAATCGCCATTTTGACTTTTAACTTACAGCTGCGCCATCATTCAGTTGTAGAATAGTGAGATGCAGAGGAAAAAATACAAATATGCAGTGTATGGATATTTCCAAATGTAAAATCCTGAACAAAGCGGAATACAGAACAATAGACCAAAAAATCAGAGAAAATTCGAATTAAGTGTAGAAACAACTAAATTTTCTGAGTTAAACTAATAATGTTAGCATTCTATTATGATTTTTATAGTTTTATTACACTCAGTTAGATAATTACACATTATTTCTCCTTTTTGAACGATATTGAGAGAAAATTAGAAAAATTGGATGACCGCCATTTTGAATCGCCATTTTGACCTCTTTAACGTCATTTTCATGAAGGCCAGCATATTTTTCTCGGAATCAGCATACTCGAAATAGGTTAAAAAACTATGCTGGACCAAATAATAATTATTTGCCGTTAGAAGTATTTTTTTCTATAAATCGGACCAGACTATTAGCAGGTAATGTAGCTCTTTCAAGAGGTGGAAAATGTACCCTAAAAGCACACTAAAAGAAAACCTTAGGACTTGTTCTGTGAAATGCACATAACTTATTTTGTTAGATTTTTTCTGTTTTTGTTGAGCAGGGGGGTTAAAAATGCATAGGTGCACTGAAAATGGATGCATAAACAATCCGATATCCCCCATGTTTCAGGTGTCATATACCCCCTAGCAGTAATTGATGAATGTATCATAGTTAGATATTTATAAAATTCACAATTTTGTCTTTCCATTGATATGCAGAAGTCTATGTAACAAGCCTCCATTTTATTTCTTTATAGGGATCAGTTTTGCTTGTCCCTCACCAAGTAACGTCCTGATAACGTCATACATAAAACTGTGTTTTGCACCCTTAGGGAAAGCCCTTATTTGTACGATTTATTTTTAATTTCTTCTCCCCTAGGGTGCCTCTGTCTCAAATGAGATGATAAGGTTACCGCGTGGATCATAGATAAGTTAGCGTGGTTCGGAATCAGACGTAAATTCAGCTTCTTTTATTTTCATTGGAATTAGTTAAAAGTTTTGTGATTTGTGAATTTGTGATATACATTGTACATTTCAACAACATTTTTGTCTTTTATGACATTACATGTGTATATAGCGTATAGACGCTGAATTTGCATATAGACGCATTTTAGAAAAACTGTATATACAGTAAAATGAGTGTAAACTCGGAGTGTCAGCCTCTTGAAAAGTCCCTCAGTGAACAAAAAGATGAGGGAGGGAAAGACAATACATCCATCATCAATATGATGAAAGAGATGCAAAAGAACATTTTGTCACTTACAACTACGGTGAGCGAGTTACAAGAGAACAAGGGAACGAAGCGCAAGATCCAAGAATCGGAAGTAAACCCTTGTACATCTAAGTCGCGCGTAGAAATAAGTGACGTTTCTGATGAAGAGAGAGACGAGTTCGATGACATTTTAAACGAGGCAAATGAAGAAATGGACACTGATTGTGATCATTTGCTTGATGAGCTGGAATGTTTTGGCTCAGAGGATAAGTGTGGCGAAGCAATACACGAAAAACTCGCCAAAGTAACAAATGATGGCGTTCGAACGGTAGTGGACTCTGACAAAATAAAGGAAGTGAGCGACAAATATAACCGATCTAAAAATGTGCAGAATCTTGTCACTCCAAAATTAAATGAGGAAATCCGAGCTCATTTGAGCCGCAAAGTCCGAGGCCAAGACATTCGGATACAAAGAACCCAGACACTTGTCGGCAAAGCCATTGTCCCGCAACTACAACAAATTAATTTGCTGCTAAATGCAAAACAAAAAGGAGATACATCCTCCATGAAAGAGCTCACTACCTTAGCAATGGACAGTCTTAAACTTATGACTTATGTCTATTGCGACCTGTCAAACAGGAGAAGAGAACTAATCATTCAACCCGAGAAAAACGAAGAATTCCGGGCATTGTGTTCTAACGAATATCCTGTCACCGACAAGTTATTTGGTGACGACCTTGGCAAAAAAGTTGAGGACATCTTAAAGGCCAACAAAGTGGGATCCAAAATATCGGGATTTAACAAGTTTGACAAGCGCGGAAATCATAACCGTAAACAGCATGGGCACACGCAGAAATCATCCAATTATGGAAACTACAAGGCCAATAATTTTTTGGGCCAACGCTGGGGATCAAACTACAAAAAGAGAACGGCTCCAGCCAACAAACAGAGGAAGCAATAGCTCCTACAGAACATGCAGATAGAAATGTGAGTAGATTTCAAAACACTTCCGAAAATTTTTCAGCAGGAAAAATATCAAACTATTTTGGAAATTGGAAGTTAATCACGAGTGACCCCAATATTCTTAGCTATGTTAATGGCTACTCGATTGAATTTGAGTCAGATCCCTCACAGACATTTATACCAAAACCAATCAAATTTAAGAACACAGATTCAGTTATAATAGACAATGAAATTGGTGAGCTTTTAAAAAAGGGAATTATTGAACTTGTCACTACTGATGATGACAATTCTGATGAATTTATATCAAACATTTTTGTGAGACCAAAGAAAAATGGAAAATTTAGAGTAATTCTCAATTTAAAACATTTAAACCAATTTATAGAATATCAACATTTCAAAATGGAAACATTTACGGCAGCCTTAGGACTTGTGTCGAAAAATTGTTTTTTCGCTTCAATAGATCTACAGGACGCATATTATTCATGTCCTGTTGATGAAAATGATAGAAAATATCTAAGATTTTATTGGAAGGGATCAAAATATCAATACACATGTCTTGCCATGGGATTAGCATCAGCCCCGAGAATGTTTACTAAAATGTTGAAACCAGCTTTTTCTACTTTACGGAAACGAGGACACACCAATGTAGCTTATATTGACGATTCGTTATTAATCAGTAAAACATATTCTGAGAGTAAGGATAATATTTCAGAAACAGCAAATCTTCTTGATAGTCTTGGGTTGACAATTAACATTGAGAAATCTGTGTTTACACCAACAAAATCTATTCAGTTCCTTGGATTTGTGATAAATTCTGAATTAATGTCAGTTACTTTAACTGAGGAGCGTGCTGATTCGATAAGAGATAAATATCAAGAAATCCTTAATCTGCATAAAGTAACGATAAGAGAGTTGTCACAGTTAATTGACAAATTAGTGTCAAGTGAACCCGGGGTCCGTTATGCACCACTGTACTACAAAGTGCTGGAAATCGAAAGAGATAAACACTTGAAAGCGAATGCCGGCAATTTTGAGGCAAAAATTGATATATCTGTTACAAGCAAAGAAACTATTGAATGGTGGATCAAAAATGTTAATAAATTTCCGCGACTCCTTAACATCGACAATCCCAGTGTAGTTATAAAAACAGATAGCTCTCTAACGGGCTGGGGTGCTTTCAATGAAACTACCGGAGAGGGATGTCAAGGAGAATGGTCAGCAGAAGAAAAAGAATATCATATTAACTACTTAGAACTCAAAGCAGGATTTATTGCATTAACAAAGTTTTGTAATGATTTTCATGATAGTCATGTTAAACTCTATAAGGACAACACAGTAGCGGTCACATACATTTCAAAAATGGGTGGAAAGATCGAGTCACTAAACAACCTCAAAATAAATATCTGAGAATTTTGCATGAGTAGAGATACAGTGGCGCCTCATTTATCCGGACGCTTTGGTTCCCAAGCAAATTGTCCGGATAAGTGAAGCGTCCGGATATCTGAATTCTATTGATTTCTCCTCCAGATATACTGTATTTGTATTGTAACTCTTATATACAAAGAAAGATATTAAAATGCTATCATTTAGAAATAATTAATTATTTTTTAAACACTTATCTTTAGTATACATCAGCACTACTTTTTTTCAAATATGATAAATATTTTTATAGCTAAAAAATAGATGCCGACTCGCGCTCTCTTTGACTGTAGCTGGAGAGCAGAATGACAAACATTGGATATAACGCTGCTTATATGGGCAGATTTTTCATTTTACTCTCTATTTCTTATAAATTGATGAACATAGCCAAACGAATTCTCTCATGTGCAGCTTTGATTACATCCAAGCGAGCTGTCAGTATCGAGTCTAATTTTAATTTGAACACTCATCCACGCTAAATATGACATAATAAAAATTCACGCAGTAGTCATCCCAAGTGAAATCACTGATTGTCTAAAATTATTCAAATTTGATTAAATATTTTAGTTTTTTTCGATGATAACTGCCACCAATCTTCGGATGAAATTACACAATACCGATGTGTGTGTGCCATGTGTAGACTACGAGATTATGAAATTATGTCGTCCCGTCTATAAATAGAAAAATATTTAAAACCAGATCAGTACTAAAATTATAAATATCTCGTAGATAACAAATAACTGAATAGAAACTTGTTTTCTGTTACCAACACAGTTAATTGTTTATTTTCATTTGTGTATCGATCTCTCGTATATTATGAGCATACCCACTTAGCATGCTTAAGGATATCCGATCCTCAGCCAGGAAGGATAACTCCAAAAATACATATTTAATTTGAAATGCATCAAAATGAAGCTTGAAAATGAATTTTTTTCATGCAACAATTTTAATTATATTCATCTTTATAAGTTTCAAGGTTTTTGAAAGTCTTAGAAAAGGTCTTATAAAAGTTGACATTTGTACCCTATAAAAGGAAAAAGAATCAATACAGTTTTAGAGAAATAAGATTTTCTTGAATCCAGCCTTATATACCAATGATTATTAGCATGATGTGAAATAAGAAGTGATTTGTTGTGTCTTGCAATGATAGCAAAAGCTTTTTACACTATGTATTATAGAATACATGACGGAAATAGAAGACAAAAAATACTAAATAAGTATAAAAAGCATGACAATTTCTCTCAATGCCTGGATACCTATCGTTTTTTAACCTAAAATATATTTGTTGATCAATTTGCAATTAAAAAATGCAAAGCTAATATTCCTATTCGTTTTTTCTGCAAAAATTTTGGAGATGTGATGATTTTCCCTATATAATATAATTAAATTTAATCTTGAACTTTAAAGAAACACTGTGGATAAATTTACGTAACTTTGTGGATTCAGAGATACTTTTATGAGTACTTTTGATTACTTAACTGCTAATTTTATAAACCTGAGGATCGGACTACCTTAATCTGTGGACTAATCATCGTAAGTCATCCATAACACTGGCACAGGTGATCGTCTTGTAAAAACAATCAATCCGGCCAGTGTTTTGATAACAATTATCACTAAGTTCAGGCGTGAATGTTGACAAGAATGGAAGTACAAATTAAAATTTACCGTCCGGATAAATGAATCAATTTCTAACGTAAAAATACATTTTGTAGTAAAAAAGAGCCGTCCGGATGCGGAACGCGAAATTCCGGATAAATGAGTCAAAATTACGTTAAAAAAATCCGTTCCCGAGAAAAATCGTCCGGAAGGTGAAGCGTCCGGATATCTGGCGTCCGGATATCTGAAGGTCCACTGTATATGGCTTTCGGCAAATCACATTGCAGGCTCAGAAAACACGGAAGCGGATTACTTATCCCGTCATAAAAATGATGACTTAGAATGGATGTTGGACAAACAAATATTTCTTAAATTGAGAGAAAATTTGGGAAATGTGACGTTGATATGTTTGCGTCAAAAAACAATTTTCAGTTCAAACCCTATGTTTCCTTTCGACCAGATAAAAATGCAAAAGCAATTGATGCATTTAGTCTTAATTGGAGTGATTTAATGTGCTATATAATCTCTCTTTTCAGTGTGATAGGAACTGTTCTTTAGAAGATAATGACCGACAGAGCGGAGGCGATATTAATTGCGCCAATATGGCCGACCCAGCATTGGTTCACGCGCCTACTGCAATTAATATGCATGGACAGTTACCTGCTACCACACAATCACATTCTTCTGTTAATGCCGGGCAAGCCCCAAATGCGCCACCCGCTGCGGAAAATGAGACTTGGCAGCTTCCGTGTGTCAGGGAATCCTTCCAAAGTAGAGGATTATCAAATGAAACTCAGGCCATTTTGCTATCTTCCTGGCGAGAATCAACTCAAAAACAGTATAGGACGTATATCAAAAAATGGATGTCATTTTGTAACCAAAGAGAAATTAATATTTTTGAGACAGATGTAAATAATGTTTTATCCTTTTTAACAGATTTGTTTAATTCAGGAAATGGTTATAGTTGTTTAAATAGCGCTAGATGCGCATTATCTTCATTCTTGCAATTAAATAATGAATTGAATATAGGCTCTCACCCTTTAATCCGCAGATTTATGAAAGGTGTATTTGTGTTGAGACCCACATTACCTAGATATAATGTGACTTGGGATGTGAATGTTGTGTTGAAATATTTGAAATCTTTATCCCCATTGTCTTCTTGTCATTGTTACAAATATCACAGAAATTATTGATGTTATTAGCACTATTTTCAGGCCAACGCGGACAAACACTTCATCTTATGGATGTGAGAAACATTTACATTACAGCAGATTATGAAAGTAACAATTGGTGATTTACTTAAAACTCCGAATCCAAAAAGACATCTTGGAGAACTGAATCTTTCCAGTTATAACATAGACGCGGATTTATGTGTTGTTAATACAATGAAACATTATCTTGAGCGTACGGAACCTTTGCGGGCCTCAGTAACAACTCTGTTTATTACATCACAAAGACCCCATAAACCCGTGTCTAGAGACACCATAGGCCGTTGATTGAAAGCTGTGTTGCAGAATTCAGGTATCGATGTCAAGATGTTCAAGCCTCACAGTACGAGATCAGCATCCGCCAGCACAGCATGCGCGCTTAGAATTCCAGTGGATACAATATTATCCGAACAGTTGGCTGGACAAAAGACTGTGTTCAGAAAGTATTATAACAAACCTGTTAGTTTAGATGTAGAGATGAGCAAAAGGCTCTTAGATAACTGTAAATGAAAGTCATATACTGAACAGTATTTACAACATTGTAAAAAATGTTTGATCATTGACTGTATTCTCGATATAAACTATCAGAAATAGTGAATTTTTAGTTTGTATTAATTTATATATAGTACCAACAAAATTTGAATTCTATCTCTAAAGTCTCATTTGAGACAGAGGCACCCTAGGGGAGAAGAAATTAGAAAGTTAAACGAGACTTACCTGGAAGGTGAAGTTTGACTGTAATTTCTTCGACCCAATAGGGTGCCGAGGGATCAAA